ACCACTATAGCATTGGTACCTCAGTTTTCCTGAGCATATGCTCTGTAACATAGCCATGAACATTAAGATAGTAAAAACAGATATTTTTAAGTCTCTGTGTTAAAAATATATGTATTTTTAATCATAGAAGAGGCCTTTAGATTTTCACTCAAACTCTTAGTTCTTTTTCTTTTCTTTGAGGATTGTTTAACATTTTTTATCAGTTGTCAGATTTCTGGAGGCATATGATGATATAATTAATTAAAATAATTTATTGTTCTATTCTTTAAGTTGCAACTAGCTTAGCTTCATATCATCTCTTTTTAAATTAAAAAGTCCAGCAGTTAAATCTGCTTGGAATCTATACATATAAAAGTCTAAGTGACCAGATGACCGTTGGACTTTCTGACCAGTAGCTATAATGCACACTGACCACCAGGGGGCAGATGCTCAACGCAGGAGCTGCCAAGCTGCAGTTCTCAGGTGATGTACCCGGAACCAGAGAGGAGGGAGCCCAATTCCGGGTGCGTCACCCGAGAACTGCCCTCTTGTAATCTGGGACCCCTTAGGGGATGTCAGAGAGCCAGTTTCGGCCCAGTCCCCACAGGCCAGGCTGAGGGACTCCACCGGTGCACAAATTTGTAGCCCATTGGCTCCCTACTTAGGGTCTAGCTTCCCACTGGGCCTCTAGCCCATTGCAGAGGTTGTGGGTCTGGCCCTTACAGAAACTTTTTCACTCAATTAGCTAAATGATGAGATGCAGGACCTACTGGCTGTAGCCCCGACGTCTGGTGCCCACACCAGCCCATCCGCTTAATATCCATTTCCAGTGGAGGCAGTGAATTTTACTCCTACTACTCTCAGCTGGGAAACTGGCTGCGGCTTCCCTCTTTCCTGGTGGACAGTAGCTCCAGAGGGCAACCTCTGGGGAGGGAAGGAGGTGAAGGAGCAGCTCAGGTGGGAAGAAGGAAGTTCCCACCGCCACAGGACTCCGCCTGGGTGGAAGGGGCTGGGCAGGAGGCTGACATTGAGCAGGGTCCTGCCCTAGGCTGATTAGATTCCAAGCTAAGTAAATCCTGTTTGCTAAATTGCATTTTGCAGCTAAATGCCCACAAGTCCTCAGTTACCACCAAACTTAGGGTAAAGTGAGATGAAAGAAGGGAGACAGATACAGAGAGAAAGTGACATAATATTGGGAGAAGAGAGGAGGGACCCTGATTCTGGGTGCATCACTCGAACCGCCCTCTCACAATATGGGACCCCTTGGGAGATGTCGGAGAGCCGGTTTCAGCCTGATTTCCACAGGGACCCCACCAATGCCTGAATCCATATACCGGGCCTCTAGTATCTATATCAAGTAAGCTCCATCAGTTTCTGATGGGAGAGGACTGTAAGCTTTTTTTTGTTGTTGTTAATCCTCACCTGAGGATATTTTTTCATTGATTTTTTTTTTTTTAAGGAGAGTGGAAGAGAGAGGGAAAGACAGAAACATCAATGTGAGAGAAACACATCAATTGGTTGCCTCCTGCACTAATATTTTTGGTGTCATATTTAAGAAGACTTTACCTAATCCGAAATCATGAGGATTTACTCTTATATTTTCTTTTTTAACATGCTTGTTCTTGAACTTCATATAAGTAGAATCATATAATATGTACTCTCTTTCATCTGTCTTTCAACCTAATTATAAGACTCATCCATATTAATGTATATATCAGCAGTTTGTTTCTTTTTATTGCTTAATATTTCAATGAATGAATGTCACAATTTCATCATTTATTTTCTGGATATTTAGGTTGTTTCTGAGTTTTGGCTATTATGAATAAAACTTATATGGACTTTCAACTGCAAGTCTTTTTGTGGACATTTGTTTTCATTTCTCTTGCTGGGTCATATGAAAATGTATTTAAGTTTATAAAGAATTGCCAAAGTGGTTGAATTCTGACATCAAGTATATGAATTATAATAGCTCCCATCCTGGACAACACTTTGTGTGGTCATTCTAATGTGTCCATAGTGTGGTTTAACTTGCATTTCCCGATGACTAAAGATGTTGAGCACTCAATTGCTTATTGGCCACTTGATTATCTTGTTTTGGAAATTGTCAGTTTAAGTCTTTAACTCATTTAAAAAATGTGTTGTTTGCCTTCTTATTGATTTTATGAGTTCTGCATATATTCTGGATGCCATCTTTTGTCAGATATATATGTTGAAAAAATTTTTTTCAGTCTGTGGTTTACCTTTTTATTTTCCTAACTAGAGGACCGGTACAATCGGGGACCCCTCGGTGGGATGTTGGAGAGCCAGTTTAGGCCCGATCCCTGCAGGCCAAGCTGAGGGACCCCACTGGTGCAAGAATCTGTGCACTGGGCCTCTGGTATAAATATAAGGTCTTTGGTTAATCTCTCCCCCCTTCCCCCTTCCCTCTGAGATTCATCAGTCTGTTCATGTTTCCATGCCTGTGGTTTCTGCTCCTGCGTTGAGTGTCTGCTCCCTGGTGGTTAGTGTGTGTCATAGCTACCGGCTGGCTGGTCAGCTGGTCGGCCAGTTGCTTAGGCTTTTATATATATAGTTGGTATCTTTTGAAGCACAGAGCATTTTTAGTTTGGATTTTTTATTCATTTTTTTCTCTTATGGTTAGTATTTCCTTTTGTCCCATTAACAAATTTTGGCCGAAACCGGTTTGGCTCAGTGGATAGAGCGTCGGCTTGCGGACTGAAAGGTCCCAGGTTCGATTCCGGTCAAGGGCATGAACCTGGGTTGCGGGCACATCCCCAGTAGGAGATGTGCAGGAGGCAGCTGATCGATGTTCCTCTCTCATCGATGTTTCTAACTCTATCTCTCTCCCTTCCTCTCTGTAAAAAATCAATAAAATATATTTAAAAAAAACAAAAACAAAAAAAACAAATTTTGGCCACTCCAAGGTTGTGAAGACCTTTTCCTGTTTTCTTCAAGGACTTTTATAGTTTAGCTTTTATATTCAGCCCTATTGTCCATTTTAAGTCATGTTTGTATGTCATGTGAGTTAAGGCATGGACAATATCTTTAAATAATGTTATGTCTTTACTTGAAATATTTCATTTGTAAGTATTTCTCACAATTTTGTATATGTTATTTCAGTTTCTTCTGAAGGTGAACTGCTTAACCCTTTTCTCAAACCCTATCCATGAATTTCACTTGGCATTTCCTGTCTGTTCCAAAAGTTGCAATTTGGCAATGTGAGACCTTTCTGACTCTCTAAAAGCCTTCTGTTTAGGTACCTTTTCATTTATACTTCCATTGTATCTCATACTTATGTTTAGCTTAGGAAATATCATTATGTTCTTTTTAACTGAATGTCTCTATTGATGGTAGTGATACAGTTAATTATTCGACATATAACAAGCATTCGATGAATAATTAAGTGAAACAAAAAACTTAGGTAAGGGTTATTTTAGTAAAGTTTGTTTCTCTATTTCATTTGGTATTCTTAGGGTTTATAATCATACATAAAATTACATATGTATAATAATTTTTCTATAAGATATTATGATCCATGGGGGGAAGTATTTAAAGTCAAAATATCATTAATTATGTTTTTTTTAATAAAGAATATTTATGGCAATAGTTGACCCTTAATTTGACTGCTGTGTACATTTTTCTATTTCTAGCAATATTTGGGACATTTTATTTAAATTATTTTTGCCATGAAAATGTATTATGTTATCTTACCTATGAATAAGGATAGTAGTTGCTCAATTTATATTATTGTTATTGAATAGGACATCTCGAATTTGAAGGTTTTCTAATATGGGGGTTTTCATTTTATTTCAATTCAGTCAGTATTTTATGTACTTTCACTGAGCTAAATGCTTTTAGGGATCTAAAGATGAGTAAGATATAAATCTGTCTCACAAAGGGTATTCCTGTAATCTGCTAAATAGTGTTTGAATCATTTTTTTTTCTTTATTAGTTTTCAATATATCATAAGTTAGTATTGGGAGCATTTCAGAAAGCAGTGAGTGGTAGCCATTGTTCAGTATACAAATAGATGTTTTAGGACCCTTATTTGAATGACATACAGTTTACATCTTTATAATGATAGAGCCATATTTTCCAGTCTTTCTTTATAGTTGGTGTATATATGAAAGAGATAGTATGGGTTTGATGTTGTGATGAATCCTGGAATAGATCTCTAAACTTATCTCAACCCATCTTTCTACAGATAAGGAAGAAACACAGGGTTCTAAACTCAAAGGCCAACAGGACTTTCTGAATGGAGAGGTCTCAGTTTAACAGTGCAAGCACACTGATAAATAACAGCTTTTAATTGGCCTGAGTTTTTGGGCGATTGAGTGGATAAAAGCTCCTGTTCACTATACCTTGTTGTTCCTGTGCAGGATTATGGGCCTAATTTTGCTCCATCTTATTTTTCAAGAGAATCCAGAATTATACATAAATACAAATGTATGTGTGTATAAAAACTAAATGAAGTCTTTCCAATTTTATTATTCAGGTTTTTTTTTATAACAAACTTCATGGTCCAAACAAAACACTTTTAGTTATTGATTAGTTATACATGGGTGAAGTAAAATGAAAAAAGAGAAGGGATTTGTTTAATTTATGTGATGTTTCCTTACTTTTTTTAGTACTGGACATATTGTAAACATGATAGGATTAGTTCTTCCATAGAATTTGTTACAGCTTTTCCAAGTATAGTTTCTTTTTTCCTGAAGCCCTCTCAACCATTTTTCTCACCAAATTTCTCCAAATTTGAATTTGAAGTGGAGATGAAGGGACATTATGATGGGATTAATAGGACTAAAATATTTAACATAATTTACTATTTCAAAATTTGAAATTACTATGCTTAGATGAAAAATACAGCAGTAATTTTATAGATGGCAGCCAAATGTTATTGAAATTGTACATATTTTAAAACTATGACTAAATTGCTGTAGTGAAACTCTAAAAGTACCATCATCACTTCATCTAGTATTACTGTGAAATTAGATCTTGAGCAATTTTTAATTATGTTTTAGATTGTTAGAGACGGATAGTAAGTCTTTGAAATCTGTAAATGGGTCAAGAAGAAACAGTGGCTCCTCCCTTGTATCAAGTTCATCAGCCTCTAGCAACCTCAGCCACCTTGAAGAAGATTCTTGGATACTTTGGGGAAGACTTGTTAATGAATGGGAAGATGTGCACAAAAAGAAGGAAAAACACATTAAGGTAAGGTATTTATATTCTTTGTTGAAGTTCTTTTTCTTATCCCAAAGGGAATCAGGCGTAGATTGATAGAGGATTAAAATTCAGATTCAGCTACTTTCCAAGTACTGTAATAAAGAAGTGTCCTTTATATGTTTTCATTTATTTGTCCCCATAGAAGTTTTGATTTGTAAATATCAGTTGTTATAGAAGTCTCCTAATTGTAGAAATATATAGGTGAAAATTATTTTAGAGGTAAAATTCTATCGTTTTATAGATTCAGAAATGAAGTTGTGATATCCTTGCATTTTCAGTATGTAACCTTTTTTTTTTTTGTCTGATAACAGCCCTTTATAAGATGATGGTTATTGTACTGCCATTCACAGCTCTGCAGATTATTGAGTCCTTAGTACCTTTAGAGATCATACTTTGAGTGAGATTATAAGAATTTATAACATTATAGCCCTTCCTTCACCAGCCAGAACAGGATACACCCAAGGGCCAAATCTTAGTATTGGCTAAAAGGTTCCCAAGTCTTACTATAAAACTAGCTTTGTGAATTATAAACTTGGTAAAGGCCTCCCACTCTATTTCAACTCCCAATAAGTCTTCTTTGGTTTTCAAGGTAGGAGACTTAAGTAATTCATTTTAAAATTTTACTTTTATTTTTAGGAACTTGTTCGTAAAGGGATACCTCACCATTTTAGAGCAATAGTTTGGCAACTTTTATGCAGTGCACAAAGTATGCCAATCAAGGATCAATATGCAGAACTCCTGAAAATGACTTCACCTTGTGAAAAATTGATCCGAAGGGACATTGCTAGAACTTATCCTGAACACAATTTTTTTAAGGAAAAAGATAGCTTTGGACAGGAGGTTTTATTTAATGTAATGAAGGTAAGTTCTATTTATTTTTCGAAATGAAGTCAATTCTCAGAAGGTTGAAAGTATTCATTTTCCACAATGAAGCATGAACTCTCACCCCAGTAATCAGTTCTTTGGCAATAAATTTGGCTTTAGCATAATTTTTGCTTTAATACTGATGCTACATTACAGTTTAGTTTAGAGAACTTATTAGAAGATCCATTACATTGCTCAGTATTAGTTGGCCAAAATCAAATAGCCTAGAAATCACTATACATTGGGAGATCCTCTAGGAAAATGAATACTTCACCTTCTATGAGTTTCAGTATCTGGGAACAAATTTTTCTACTTGCTGTGGTCAGTGTTGTTAAGAGCTCTTAGCCATTGAAAGTCTGTGCCATTGTAATTTTTCTTCATTATGGCCTTTTCCTCTTCCATAGTATCTTTCCCTTCCAACTACCTCTGTGAAATACTGATTTCTTTTTTTTTTTTAAATATATTTTATTGATTTTTTACAGAGAGGAAGGGAGAGAGATAGAGAGTTAGAAACATCGATCAGCTGCCTCCTGCACACCCCCACTGGGGATGTGCCCACAACCATGGTACATGCCCTTGACCGGAACCGAACCTGGGACCCCCCAGTCCGCAGGCCTACGCGCTATCCACTGAGCCAAACCGGTTTCGGCGAAATACTGATTTCTTATTAAATCATTTATATTTTGCCAAAGCTTTCTTTACCTTGTGGTCTTATTTTTATTTAATATACATATTAAATTATTTTTAAGTATTGTTACCTTCCCAAGTACAAACTTCTTTCTTTTTTTGTCCTTAGGAGTTGTTAGTTTCTAATTGGGAAATTGTCAAAAAAGAAAAATTGATGTAGTAAATTATTTGCTTATTAAATATTTATAGTATAACATTTACAACAAGCAACTAAGAGTTTTTCTTAAAAATAGTCTTTAATTTACTTGTTTTACTATTTTTAAGTTTTTAGAGAAGGAAAGTATATTAAAGTATTTTGAACAATATTTTTTGCTTTTTAGGCATATTCTTTAGTGGATCGTGAGGTTGGTTACTGCCAAGGAAGTGCTTTTATAGTTGGACTGCTGCTTATGCAGGTAAGTTAGTACAAGTGTTAAATGTCCAATTAAGTTATTTATTAAAGTTGCAGTGAAGAATTTAAAAAGTATCCTTGTTTTTTATTAAGTGTAAGTTGCTATTGGGCATTTTTTCCTAAGCACAATTTAATTAGGAGCATTTAGTTTGCACTTTAAAAGATTACTAAAATTGTTGAAAATAACATGCTATAATATCCTCCACTAAATGAAATTTCACCACTTTGGTATTTACATTTGGACCACAGTATTTACTAAAGCCTATATCTACTTTTAAATATTGACATATTTTAAATATGTCAATATTTAAGGAGGAGTAATCTTTTTTCAACCAAGGAGGACATGATTCAAGTGTTGGTATGCAATGTTATGTTATACAACATCTTCGGAAATTATATAGGACTTCTTGAGGACTTGTTATGGGCTCTAAGTGTCGTACTCAGTCACACCAGGGATGTGGTATATATTTCTGTTGACAGTGACCTATTTTGGAGTGGGATTGGGAGGGATGTTTTCAGAATAATCATAGCTTTGAAGGGAAATGTCATAGTGTGGTTATCTCTTCAGCCTTATTAAAAAAAAATTAAAAAGTCCATCATACTCTATATTTAGTCTCAGATTAAAATACAGTCTGAAAGGAAACCTTGGAAATAATTTGATTTGAATTACATAGGCTGGTTTTTGCATCTTAATTCTGCACTGAGTTCTGTGAATTTGGACTAGATTATTTAACCTCTCTCTGAGTCTTAATTAGGCAATATTGTCTACTTTCAGATTCATTGTGAGGGCTATATGAGATAATATATGTAAAAGCCTAGCATGATGTTTGGCACATAGTAGATAGGCAACAAAAGTTAAATGACTTCCTAAGATTACATATCATGATAGATAAAAGCAGAATAAGATTCAAAAACTGTGTTTCCAAATACTTTGCTTCAATTAGCTAACAGTTCTACCTGAGTTTTAAAACTCTATACGTATTAGGGATGTACACATTTCTGAGTCTCAAAAACTTGGTGTAGAGACACTGGTTTATAGTAAAAATGACTGGTTTTTACTTTGCTTTATAATAGAAGAACTGCACCCAAAAGTTGTTATTACAGAATATTTGTCTATTTCTAACATTAGGTCATAAATAATAAGAAAAAAAAACCTAGAAATGTTAATGTTGGAACTATAGCTGTTTTACAACATTGTGATTTTCCTAATTTGTAATTGGTTAGTATTGGTAGGCCTTTCACTGTTGGATTCAAATATCCCTGTTATTAGACCAGTGATTTTTGTCACAATTCTGTTTCTTTTACTTTCATATTAGTTCCGAAATAACATTTCTATTGATGATCTAAAAAGCAGTTTTCTCTACTTGAGCTATGAACCAGTCTTCCAACAGCTGACCTAGCTAGCTCTATAGGATTTAGGCCGATGCTCTATCCACTGAGCCAAACCAGCTAGGCAGGATGAAATTTTTTTTTTTCTTAGAGGAAGGGAGAGGGAGAGAGAAATGGAAACTTCAATGATGAGAGTGAATCATTGATCGGCTGCCTCCTGCATGCCCCATACAGGGGATCGAGCCTGCAACTCAGGCATGTGCTCCAACCGTGACCTCCTGGTTCATAGACTGATGCTCAACCACTGAGCCATGCCACCTGGGCGGTGTGTAACTTTTCTTGGTATGTTCACAAGAGAAGAAATTCTTGTAAGACAAAAAAGGGGAGATTAATTGATTTATTTGTACTGTAACTGTCACGAGGGGCTGGAGGAGAAGTGGAAGGTAGTGGTAGGAGATGGGGTTGGAGAAGTGGTAAGGGGTCATGTCATATAGGACCTATAAGGATTGTGGCTTTTATTGAGGATATGGAAAGCCACTAGAGAAGCTTTTTGTTTTGAGCAGTGGAGTGAAATGATTGAGATGACGAATTGAAAGGATCACTCTGGCAGCTCCAGGATGTATGGAGAGGAGGCTGTTGGGAAGGGAGCACAAGAGAGGCAGCAGAGTGGCCAGTGAGGAAGCCCTTGCCGTTGTCCAGACCATGGATTACTGCTCTCTTCATGGTGGTTTGGACTAGGTGTTATGATGAGAAGTGGTTGATTTTTAAGATATTTTGAATGTAGAACCAGCAGGATTTACTGATAGATTGGATGTGGAGTAAAAGAGAAAGGAGGAATGATGACTCATAAGGTTTTTGAGCAGAAGTATGGGACAAGAAGTAGCAGGAAATTAGGAGTGTGATTTAAGCTGTCTGTTGGACATCCAAGTGGGGATATAAATGTGCAGGTGGAAATACGAGATGGGCATTGGGGGAATGTCCAGGCTGATAGATAGAAGAGAGAGACTAAAGGCTATAAAAATGGGTTCAGATGCAGGTAGAATGGTAGATGTGGTGGCGTGAGAATGGGACAGTTTTCTTTTAATTGCTTCTATTAAAAAAATACTGAAATAGCAAACAAGGTCATTAGCTTAGAGATGAGTGGAAGCTTGAGGACAGAGAAGAAAGTTTGAAATGGTCAAGAATGAGTGATTGAATTAGAGAAATAAAATATACCAGACAGCATTAAAGATCCACTGAGATTAGTGGTCCTAAATTCAAAATGAGACCAGCCATCAGGGCTAAAGTGTTTTTATTCTACCCACCCAGACACTTTCTGCTGCCTAAATGTAGTTACAGAGTTGGATTTTTCTAAAGGTGGAGTTTTGCAGTTAGGATTATAACTGAGAGAGAAAGACAAAGTAATTGTGGATTTAAATGTGTGAATAAATATAACAGTAAAGTGAGCACAGGAGAGAGTTGGGAACAAAGTTAAGGTACTGTGTAAATGAATGAGGACTGCAAGGTCAGATCATTGTAAATACTTTATGTACATTAATCTTCACTGCATCCCTATGAAGTAAATACTATTATTATACCCATTTGACAGGTAGTAAAGTTGAGCAACTGAGAACTTAAGTAATTTGCTGAAGGTCATACAGCTGTTAGTGGGAGTTGAACCGTAGGTGGTGTGGCTATAGAGCCTGAGCTCTAACTGCCTGCCAAGATCATTGGAGCAAAGGAAGCAAGAGGTGTCTTAGGCCAGAGGTGTCCTTAATCCACATGAAAATGAGTGTGGTTTGAGGGGATGACCCACAGGTTTGTAGATGTTGTAAAAAAGAGGAATCATGGGTAATGTCTACTGGTATGTGTTTCAAGAGAATGGGGAATTAATGCTGTGGAAGTGGCAGTGAGGTTCAAGAAGGGCTATGTACCTCTCTACCCCATGGCTTCTTTCAGTGCTGTGGGAGATAAAACAGCCACCTCGGGAGAGAGCCAGATTTTGGTGTCAAACTGTTCTTAAGGGAAAGCCAGATTTCAATTAGAAAAGAAGGTGAATGAACATTTGATAAAGAGATTGAGGATATAGTTAGGATATTTTGTTGATGGCAGATTATGAGTTGTAGAAAGTTCTGTGGAAGAGGTTTTGGGAAGGTTGTAAGTGGGGTTATATTAGGGGAGCAGTAGAATCACATAGGATGAGAATTCTGGGTTTGGTTTTTTTTCTTCAGTTGACTGACTTAAATCAATGGGGTTGTAGGGCTTAAGGGGATTAATGAGTATGGTTTCCAAGGCAGAATTGTGGTTATGTAGAAGGGAGGATGGAAGGAAGGGAGGAAGGAAGGGAGGGAGGGAGGAAGGGAGGGGGAAAAGGAGGAAGGGAGGCAGGGAGGGAGGGAGGGAGAGAGAGAGGGAAGAAAGGTTTTGCCAAGAGTAACTCTTGGCTTCCTGTCTTGGTTGTGTCAACATGGCCAGGAAAAATGTATTGTTACTGGAAGCAGTCTTCAGTGAGAAGAATGCCTAGAGATCCTTTGAGGTTTCCTCTTTTGAAACACACTGGTATAATGTGAGTGAATGAGCACTAGAAAATTTTATCTTTTTGAGAAAGATGACTTAATAATTTAGATAAGTGTTACTTGCTTAAGTATTATGAATATCTGTGTAGCTCTTACAGAGCTTTTACATTTATTATCTTATTTGATACTAGTGGCCCGGTGCACAAATTTGTGCACAGTAAAAGGGAATTAATTAGAGGAAATATCTTAATATTGCTATTTGCCTTTTCTCTATAATAGAAGTGTCAGAGATGAAAGTAAATGAGTAAAATGTATCTGCCCATTTGGGGTTGCATGTCATGGTTATGAATAAATCAGGCTTGCCATACTTCGTTACAATTGCCATAGCATCCTGATATCGCTGTTACATATTTCTGGGACTACCCTCAAAAGATGATGGAAGTATTATCATGTTACCAATCGGCACATTGTCATTTTCAGATCTAGATTTGAGATAATCCATCAAACCACTATATTTTCAGCTCTCAACTTAGATTGGTTTGCTTTGATGAAATGTATCTGATTGGCCTCCATTTTTTAATATGCATCCACAATAAACTGTTGAGTTAATTTTCCTGTATTTAAAATAGAATTGAACATGTCCCTCACAGAGAGATAAAATCCATAATACTCCATTTGTGTTACTCGTGTCCTTAGATTTTGTCTAGTATCATTGTCAATTACACTGTTGTCTCTGAGTCTTAATGCAATATCTGTTCCCCAGCCTTTTTCACCATGAGGGAAAAGAATAGGATATGTCATTGCATCTAATATAGGAAACAGGATACTGATATGTTTCATTTTAGTGGCATTCGGATTATTGGGATCTGGTTTACAATGAATGAGCAAGTCCCTTTCAAAAGGAGGTTCTCCATCTTCATTTCTGAATATGAGGGCAACCTCAGTTACACAAGGAGAATTATATCTACCCGGATCACTAATACGATCGTATTTAATCGCTTCCATGGGAGCGCTTCCATTGTACTTCCATGGGAGCAATACCTTTTGCTGCCGCTTCAGATTTGGCTTCCTTTTCTACCTCATGTAGCATCTTGTATGATTTTGTTAATTCATTTATTTCATGCATGAAGTTGTTGATGTTGATCATGAGTCTTTCTAAGCAGTCCTAGTTTTCTGGCATTGCT